CTGTTGTTGTTGCTGCTAGTGCTACTGTTGGCACAATGAAACCTGCACTTCAATGTAGTTAAACCACATCACAGGGACTATATCAGTGGTTCTCAACCTGTGGGTCCCCAGGTGTTTTCGCCTAAAACTCCCAGAAAGTTTACCAGCTGCTGGGATTTCTGGGAGTTGTAGGCCAAAACATCTGGGGACCCACAGGTTGAGAACCACTGTTCTATACTGACCATATAATGCAGTTCCAAACTGTATTATATGGCAGTGTAGATCCAGTCACAGAGATACAAAAACAGCATCTGAATGCTGCGATATCCTAGAAAGGAAATTCTAATGCTGTTTTCACTTTGTTTTCTATCCCAATGACAATTGGATTATGAATTGTTTGTGTTGTCATGAAAACAAAGATTGGAGACACCGTTTCCCTATAATATCTTTTGCAGGAGTGAATTTCCTTTCCTGGGAGTAAATTTCCTCTCACTTCTTTTTGTCTAATTTCCTCTTGCAACTAGGAGTTATATATTACTCAGATGTTTGTAACTTGGGGACAGCTGTACTTAGTAAATCAACATGAGAAAATTTTATCAGTAAGAATTTAACTTCAAAGAAATCTTTTTAGAAAACCTGTAATTAACCCATGGCACTTAATTCTGGGTTATTTTCATTCCTCTGAGAATGTGTTATTGTACAACCTTCTCCTCTATCTGAGGCATGTAACATAACCAGATTCTGCTGGGTTTTTTTTTCACAGCCTAAATCTCTAAATCTTGCAAAGCAGACATGACATGAATACAAGACTCTTGACAAAAAAATCTGCCTAAATAGAGATTATCTGTGAAGATCATCGTTGTCAATGAAGGTCAACTTCACCACCTCCACCCTAAATGAGAAACATGTAAACTGGATTACTGAGGGTCAGAGGACTTTTAAAAAAAGAAATATCCTGCATTTCATACAAAACTGACAATGTGGCACTAAATTTTATGTATGTGCTTACTGCCTTACTTATTTGATATGTCCTGGCAAAGACAAATGGATGGTTCCTGGTTGAACCTCATCATGCCTTGGAACCCTTCCCCTTCTCAAGAGCTTTTGCTTGCTATTGTGCCCCTTAGAATAAAGGTTTTCCTCAAAGAAGCATAGAAAACACCTCTTTGCATTGCCTTTAATTTTACTTAGGTTGCTGAAGTCTACCTACAAATCTCAACATAGGAATTAGATATTTCTCTGGCTGTGGAAAAGGATGACAAGATGTCTACTGACGTCTGTAGATGTGAGCAAAATAGTTTCTCCTAAGCCATAGATATAGATTGGTTTATTGATTAGCCCACTGACCACGTCAAGAATAAAAGGGAAAAAAAACCCAAAAATACACAAATAGATACTAATCACTATTCTAAAAGTCCTGCAATCCTTAGAATTGAGATACGTGTTATATTTATTTATTTATTTATTCAGAACTTTTATATCCCGGTCTTCTCAACCTCCGCAGAGGGACTCAGGCCGGCTAACAACAGAAAATGCATACACAAGTAAACTCATAACATCATAATACAGTAAAATACAAACAGAATAAATACATAAAGCCAAATCGACAAGATATATGACACACAAACACACACACACTAAAGAAACCACATTTTAAAATATATATTTTAAATTATAATTATTTTGAATGCAAAATTAGATTGTTTTTCACAAAGTAGCAGTTTTGCACAAGGAGGAAGAAAGACAAAGAAAAACATAAAGAAAAAAGATGGCTTCCGATTTTCATTTAGTAGTTACATATACATCCCTAACTGTTCTTCCTTATCTTTCTAACAGTTTGACAAGTTCACTTTTTTTTGTAACCAGTCCTTTCTGTGTCTAAATTTGACATCACAAAGGAGCAAAATCTCATGGTATCTCAGGATTAACATTAAAGACAAAGAAAAGGAGCTATCTCCTGAAGCAGTGGTTCTCAACCTGTGGGTCCCCAGATGTTTTGGCTTTCAACTCCCAGAAATCCTAACAGCTGGTAAACTGGCTGGGATTTCTGGGAGTTGTTTCCTATCTTGGATCATGCATTTGGGTTTAATTGCTCAAGTTTGTTCCTGAATAATTGTGGGACTTTGAATTCTTGGACTATCCTATAAAACACTAAACGGTTCAGGCATATCTGCGTGACTGCCTCTTCCCCTATGAGCCCATGCAATCCTTAATATCTGGGTTGTTGTAGGTTTTTTCGGGCTATATGGCCATGTTCTAGCCTGAAAAAACCTACAACAACCCAGTGATTCCGGCCATGAAAGCCTTCGACAATCCTTAATATCGTCCGGGGATGCTCTTCTCTCGCTCCTGCCCTAGTCTCAGGTGTGATTGATGGGGACGAGGGAAAGGACATTCTCAGTGATGGCCCCTCACCTCTGGAACGCCCTCCCCAGGGAGATCAGGCTCGTGCCCTCTCTAGCCACATTTTGTAAGGAATTAAAAACATGGATGTTTCGTTGTGCATTTGACTGACGACTTCATGACATATGACCTGTATCGCGACTTAATTATCATTCAACCTGAATTTCCTATATTACATTACTATTCAGATTTTGTAAGTCAAACTGAATTGTTTCTGATCCTGTTAAATTGCTCTGCTTTCATGATATTTCCTATGCTATTATACATTTTCATCCACCTGATTGAACCAATTACTCTTTAGTCAGCCTGTATATTGGCCTTCCCCCCCCTTTTTCAAATTAGTTTTTTTGTTGCTCGATGCTTGTCTATTATTGTTATGTTGTTTTATGCTTCTTAAATTGTATTTTGGTATTGCTTTGCTTTTAATTGTATGTTTTCTGTAAGCCACCCCGAGTCCCTTCGGGGAGATGGAGGCAGGGTAGAAAAATAAACAACTTCTTCCTCTTTGTCTTCCTCTTCCTCCTCCTCCTCCTCCTCCTCCTCCTCCTCCTCCTCCTCCTCCTCCTCTTCTTCTGGATTCACAGACTCTAGTTCCTGTGGATTTTGTCTTGGATTTTGGGACATTACTGCTTACTTTGCTCAACTGACTGTTTTATGAACAATATTTTATTATACTTTTGAACTCCCTTTATTCTTTTGCTGAAGCAATTTTTATTTTTCAATAAACTGTTTGTTTACAAGAACTGTGGTGTGGTTCTGGGTTCAGAGTTGCATACCCAGCCTTTGTGTGCAAGAATTGGGCCTCCATTTTTCTGTTGGGACAGGATGTTGAGAGAGCGAGAGAGATCATGCTCCAGTCCACTGGTGGACATGAAACAATGGCTTCAAACTACAAGAAAGGAGATTCCATCTGAACATGAGGAAGAACTTCCTGACTGTGAGAGCCGTTCAGCAGTGGAACTCTCTGCCCTGGAGTGTGGTGGAGGCTCCTTCTCTGGAAGCTTTTAAACAGAGGCTGGATGGCCATCTGTCAGGGGTGCTTTGAATGCAATATTCCTGCTTTTTGGCAGGGGGTTGGACTGGATGGCCAATGAGGTCTCTTCCAACTCTTTGATTCTATGATTCTATAATTCTATGGTGATCTAAATGCCACTCACAGTTCTGCATTGCTTGCCTTTCTTTTTGACTCAAATAGCAATAAATAAGCGTTTACTTTCTACACTCTTAAGAAACTGTCACCAAAAGTGTCTTTCACATGGCACAAGCTTCAAATATGGGGTAGAGGTATCTTCTTGCCATTTCTAAAGTCACCATAAAATGAGGAGGTAATTGATATCTTTTTAAAGAATGACTAATGCTACTTCAGGTGGTGTGGCTCCCATTAAAATAGGTGTTTTAAAAGGGTGCCTTAAACTCAGTTTCATTGAAAGGGTGTTGAGGAGAAATGATGCCAGAAAAAGTGGTTTCTTGAGTCTGATGCCTTAAACCCAGGTGTTATTGAAAAATATAAGTAAAAAGGATCCCAGCAATGACGTTTCTGAAGTCTGATGCCTTAAACCCAGGTGTTATTGAAGGATCTGAGGAGAATCAATGGCAGAAAAGGTGGTTTCTTAAGTCTGATGCCTTAAACCCAGTTCTAGTTGAGTTATATGGGGAGGAAAAAAATGACAGAAAAGGGTGCCTGGGAAGTCCCAGCATTGCTGTCAATGGGCCAGATCTTCCTGCAGCAAAAACAAATCTTTCGGCTGCCAGATCAAAAAACAGAATTTTGTATGCCAAGATTCAGGAGGCTCCTGAAAAATGGATCGGGGGGCCAACAAATTCCAGACACCAAAAACAGCATGAGGTTTAGCTGAATTGCACACCCCTAACTCAAGAGGTATCACCCTCTCATGCTTCTCCAAGAAATAGTCAAAATGAGTCAAAAGCATCCCTCTTACCCAGATAGGAAATCAGTAGTATCTCAGGACAACAAGTCATAAAAAGGGAGATAAATCCTGAAGTCATCTATTTATTTGTCTTTAATCAGCCCTGTTTATGAGTCAGAAAACAGAGGGAGTGCCCTTCCTTCTCCTTGCAGAGTCTGTCAATGCAGCTTCTGCAAATGTCCCAGGCTGAAGGAGAAAGGGACCTCAGGGTCAGCGTGGGATGACAGAGAGCTGGTAAAAGGGTGGGATGTTGGCAAAGCCACTTTCTTGAAAAGTGAGGTCAATATCTTCGGGGGGCACAAGGGACTTCAATTGGAAATTCTGCAGGATGGTGGTGAAGAAGAGGAAAAGCTCCATGCGGGCTAAGGATTCACCCAGACAGATCCGTTTCCCTGAAAGAAAAATATGATAATTTATTAGGAAGTAAAGGCTGGCACCCTGATGATGCAGCGGGTTAAACCACTGAGTTGATGAACTTGCTGACCAAGTTCCCCAAGTTTGTGTCGTGTTTTCCCTCCAACCAGCAATCTAATTGTCTTAAAATATTTCCCTCATATCCAACTTGCTAGTGGTTTCTGGTTGATCTCAATAATTTGGAATACCCATTTCAAACACCTTGTTACGGGTATTTGGATGGCCCAATTGTTCATTTGGGGAAACCTGAGTCTGGTGTCTCTAAATCCAAAGGCAATCAATATCATTTCTAAATTTGCCAATCTTGATACAGATTTGGATCCCTAGAGATGCAATTTTTCACTCATTTGGGTTTGAAGGGAGCTATGAGAAATTTTAGCAATTTTCTTCTCTGTGCAAGAAATTCTCCCCAAACTGTGCAGTCCATGAATAATACTTGCCCATGGAAGAGGATTGAATGGTCAACAAAGGCTATACAATTATGAAATATAGTAATGGTAATAATAACAATAATAATAAACTTTATTTGTATTCCACTCCATCTCCCCAAGGGGACTCAGGATGGATTCCAACATAGCAACGGCAAACATTCAATGCCTTCATAAAACAAATACTAACATAAAATCTCGGAGAAACCCCACATATGGAAACAACATTAAAACCTAATATCAAATTAAAGCCTAACATCAATAAGTTAAACCTAACATAAAAAAGTAAGCTACATGTAGTCAAAATTATATAATAACATAAAATCTAAACAAACATCCACATTAATTTACAACAGCCAATTAGGGTTTAAAAAAAAGGGGGGGGGTTGGGTGGGTTGTGTAGTCAAACAATTGGGCTGGTGTGGATTAGGAGAATCCAAATACAAAATAGTTCTCAACCAGTAATCTCTCTTTATCTAATCCTCCTCCTCTCCATATCCTAGTGAAATGTAATCCAGAGAGTACAAATATCTTAACCCCTACATTTTGTGCATGTTTGCACAAAAATAAAAATAAGATAAATAAAGAGCCCACAGTAGCAAGCCCCAAAAGCAAGCATGGGATATCAAGTAAATTAACTAACAAAACTGAATATTGGTGTTTTTAGTAGAGCTCTACCTGAGGAAAAAGGCACAAAGGCATCATTCATCTTGAAGCATCCATACTCATCCAAGAAGTTCTCTGGGTTGAAAGCATTGGGGTATTTAAACATAGTAGGGTCATGCAAGACAGAGCTCAGCAATGGCAAGACCATCATCCCCTGGGAAAAGAAAGAGTTAGGAGCTCATATTGGCAAAAATGCAATTCCAGAACAAATATCTTGAACAGCATTCTTTCATCCGCTTGCAATCCATCTAGGTGTACTATGTAAAGATCACAAAAACAGTTGGGTTTATTGGAACTAAGCCTTGCACTTCATTAGCTTGTTTGATGGTTCATGGTACAATCTTCTTTTGAGAAAAAAAGTAACAAATGTGCAAGCAAGCTAACTGTCCTACCAAAAAAGAGTTAAGATCAAAACTGGGAAGATTCAAGGAGAGCATCCACAAGGCTCTAATCTGTGGTTGTGGCAAGCCCTGGTGGCTCGTGAGACTCAGTTAGGTGTTAGATGAAAGGAGAACATTTCACATTGCCTGCATTTGATTGCCTTCATCGCTTGTTTCTTAGATTGAAGGCTGAGTGACTATATGAAGCACGTGATTCCATGATGGGTGCATCTACACTATCGAAACAATGGAGTTCGACACCAATTGTAAAAGAACAACTCTCATGATTCCATTGCTTTGACTGATGTCAAACTGCATTAATTCTGCTGTGTAAATGCACCCAATACGGGATCTGTTAATCTTTCTTCTAAATTTTACCAGAGTATTTCTTCTTAGTTGTATCACCTAGAACTAGTGACTGTAACCTCTAGAGATTTGTTATTGCTTTGCAAGTGGGATATAGGCTCAAGAACTGATTATGTCAAGGTAGAGCTAAAGTGCATCCAGTTAGGGGTGTGCATGAGATTGTTTTGGTGTACTGGATTCAGGGAATTTGGCTGCTGAACCCCCCAAAATAAGCTTGACGGGGGGCAGCCGAAGCCTTAGCTAATACAGATCATAGCAGACAGATCTTTTTGGATAACCGGGGACTAATGGGGATGAGCAGCACTCTACCTGAAGGAGAGGCGATGTGTGGGCAGCCTTGCAAATCAAGCAAGCGGTGGTTCCTCCTCTCCTTTCTCCTCCGGCGGCCTACTCCATCCCTTCTCAAAGCCCCCCCCCCCTGCCTGCTTGAGGCAAATGGGAACTTGCTTTCCCAGCAGCACTTTGTGTGGTGTGGACATTGAAGGAGCCTCTGTGCTCCCTCTCGGGGCATCATGGCAGTTGAAATTTCAGTCTCTCTGTGTTTCAGAAGCCTAGTTGACTGTGTCTGTCCTCCTACCCTCTTGTGAAATGCGCTTGGGACTTCAATTCCTAAAACACTCTCTTGTGGGTCTTTTAAAATAATATTATGGTAATTTTTTTAAAAAAAATAAAAAATCAGTGGATTTGTGAAACGTTCTGAAACCTGGCAGGCTTGCAGTCATAAATGTGGCTTAAAAGTGAGGAAAGTTTTATGCTGCTATCATTCCTAAAAATGATGGAGGAACGAGCCTCTAAAGTTTCCCCGTTGGTGTCAATGGACCAAATCTTACCGGAACGAAAACAAAAACCCCCTCCGGATTTCTGGAAGGGAGAGATGGAATGAAAATGCGATCTTTCTTCTCTCTCCCCAATATAGAAATAAGTGTCAGGGGCACTGGGACACTAAAGAGGTGGGTTATCATTGCACCATTATAACAGAATATCCAATATATCCTGTTATATATCTCTGAACCCATCATACACTGTTTCCAATATTTTAAACAGTGTATGATGGGTTCAGAGACTGGAATTATACCATCATGACTCATCTGCAGTATAGTAGTTGAAATGAGGAGATATTTCTATAGGTGGGATTGGATCAGAGTGGAATGTCCCATGAATCCCTTCAATTACTCTTACCCTTGTTGCCCCATGACTGTACCTTAGGGATATGATATCCTCTGAATTCAGTGTCACGAGTGACCATGTGGGCCACATTCATAGGAATGACATCACTGTATCTTTGCACTTCATGGATCACGGCATCTGTATATGGCATTTGTCGCCGATCTTCAATGTTCGGAACACGATTAGGGCCAATGACTCGATCAATTTCCTCATGCACTTTTTCTGTTAAAGATATGAGGATAATTAACTCCTTGGGTTTCTGACTTTCAAAGGGAACTGAGATTCTACTTCCAGTGAGACTAAAGGAGAACATGAAGTCCCTTACTATTCATTGCAGGAAGACGGACATCTCATCCCAAGCAATAACCTGCATGGCCTGGTTCTGGCTTCCTCTTGTAGAGAGAGCGCCCTGAACTAGTTTTCCTCACACCTTGGACCTCATCAATCCTTTCTCTCCTTTCCAGGTCCTACTATGGACAGTGGTGTAAAATGGCATCTCATATATAAAAAGCCAAACAAAGCTGCTGAGAACCTGAGGATCAGTAAAATGGTGGTAGGATATAACCACGTTTACATCCATGTAAGGCTTGATATGCAGCCAAATCAAGGTTTGCTTTTTCCTAAATATTTTTGAGCCATTATTCACTAAATCTATAACCGCATCTCCTTCCACAAACCTGCATGTTCCCTCCGATCCTTGGGCGAGGCCCTCCTCTCACCTCTTCCTCTATCATAGGCACGACTTGTGGGAACACAGGAGAGAGCCTTCTCCACTGTGCCCCCCCCCCCCCGGCTATGGAACTCGCTACCTGGTGAAATTAGGCAAGCCCCCACCCTAGCAGTCTTTAAGAAAGATCTAAAGACTTGGCTTTTCCAATTTGCCTTTGGAGAGTGACCATATATTCCAGTCCTGTTGTTTCACCTAAACTGTTTCCCTCATACTGCACTTATTGAAAGTCTAATTCCACTGTTCAGTCTCCTATGAGCTCCTCCCCCAAAAATGTACCTTTTCATTGCTATCTTATACAGTGTTCTCTCATGTTATGTCATGTATTTGGTCCGCCCACTGTGTTTTATTCTCCATTATGTTACTTTGTACTGTTTATTTTCCTTGATTGGTTTATTTAATTTATTGTGATGTTATTTTGTTGTTTATATTTTATGTTGCTGTAATGTATTGCTGGGCTTGGCCTCATGTAAGCCTCTCTGAGTCCCCATTGGGGAGATGGTGGCGAGGTATAAATACAGATTATTATTATTATTATTATTATTATTATTATTATTATTATTATTGATGGAGAAGAAATAGATACAGGGCTGATAGTTCTCACAAGATTATGTGGAAGCGGAAACTAGAGTGAAATTTGACCATAGAATTTGACCAGATGTTGACCATAGAATTTCCCTGGAAATATTAAAGATTCTTAGCAAAAGCATATTAACCACATCTGTAAAGTTCGACCTGCCACTTTGGCCTAACTGTTAATGATATTAGCAACAGCAACAACAACAACACCTTGCACTTCAGGATATTTCATCAGAAGCAGGAAGCCATATCTGAAGGTGGAACTGCCTGTCTCTGTTCCTCCGAAGATCAGACTAAGAATGCTGGCCACCAAGTTCTCCATAATAAATTCACTGCCTGGATTGTCTTTTTCCTGAAAGCGGGAAAGAACAAGACATCATGAGACAATTCCAACTCTTATCGCATTTCCCTAGTGAGAAAGATTATTAACAGCTAATGCAGATACCTGCTACCTTCATGCGCCAACAAGGTACCTTTTCCATCTGGATGAGGAAGCAATCAATATAGTCACGTGGGAAATTAGGGTCCAAGGTCTCCTGGTTCTTCTTGATTCTCTTGGCAATGAAGAGCTTTATGTCCATGCAATCATAGATCTTACTGTAGATTCCCGGAATGTAATTCAGGTAGTTGGAATAGATGTCATAGAACTGCACAAAGAGAGAAACCATTTTGTAACCAATAGTTGTTGTATTCCATCTATGCATCAACAGGATTTCTGCTGCTAGTAACAAAGGAATCATCCAAGACCTCAATTTTGTTCTGGATAGGATATTATTTATCGTGTCATCAGCAACCATACCATTGTATTACATTTCTAACAGAACAAAACAAACAAACAGATAAAAAACCACAAATTTTGCAAACTTGATAGTTGATTAAATGTCCTTTGACCAGTATCTGGCCTCTGGTGTTGCCGCAAGAAGGTCCTCCATTGGGCATGTGGCAGGGCTCAGGTTGCATTGCAGCAGGTGGTCAGTGGTTTGCTCTTCTCCACACTCGCCTGTCGTGGATTCAGCTTTGTAGCCCCATTTCTTAAGGTTGGCTCTGCATCTCGTGGTGCCAGAGGGCAGTCTGTTCAGCGCCTTCCAAGTCGCCCAGTCTTCTGTGTGCCCAGGGGGAGTCTCTCATCTGGTATCACCCAAGGATTGAGGTGCTGGGTTTGAGCCTGCCACTTTTGGACTCTCGCTTGCTGAGGTGTTCCAGCGAGTGTCTCTGTAGATCTTAGAAAACTATTTCTTGATTTAAGTCGTTGACGTAGTGGCTGATACCCAAACAAGGGATGAGCTGGAGATGTCTCTGCCTTGGTCCTTTCACTATTGGCTGCTACTTCCCGGCGGATGTCAGGTGGTGCAATACCGGCTAAGCAGTGTAATTTCTCCAGTGGTGTAGGGCGCAGACATCCCGTGATAATGCGGCATGTCTCATTAAGAGCCACATCCACTGTTTTAGTGTGGTGAGATGTGTTCCACACTGGGCATGCATACTCAGCAGCAGAGTAGCATAGCGCAAGGGCAGATGTCTTCACGTC